TTGGTCCTGAATTCAAATATGCCAACTGAGGATAAGAAACGTCGAGTATTGCCACTATTACCGCGATTGCCAGATTGTCCAGGTGGATTTAAATCATTTGTTGTTCCCTTTGGTCCATTAGGTGACGATGAACCTGGCGCACTATTACAGCAAGGGCAACATTTCACATTCATCTGAAAAGTGTAGAGTCAGCTAAACTACTTTTGCGTTAAGGAGAAAACAACTTCTAACACTCTCTGCGCCTCAAAAGGTAGTATTCTTACTTTTATTGAGAAATTTACAAATAAGTTGTCAACATTTTCGAACAAAAGATTACGTTTCTTTTTTTAATTTTTGAAACTGAAATATGTTGTGGTGTAGCCAGTCTGGCAAAAAAAGTTGGATCTTTTTAATGTTTAATTTATACTTTGCGTTATCTTCGAATACCCCTTGAAGTTAAAAACGTGAAAACTTGATATCTCACAAATTAGGGGTAAGTACCCGCTCTCTTCCCCCGCGCTTCTTTAAAAATAGAATTCTGTCTACTAAAAGAGAAGCCCCTAAGACTTCTTCATTTTGGGCAGAAAACGTCCCCATTTACCCACCTTTAGGTCCGTGCCGTCTGGAATATGGTTCTTATCATTCTTCTCGTATTCCGTTGATGTCTTCCACGATCGTTCAGGCTCTTGAGTATCCATGTCTGTAAGGCTTTTTTAGTTGTTATTGATGCACATATAAAGCAAATGCCCTTGCAAGAGTTGTTTGCTATGTTTCTCATACTGTTAACTTACTTTCAGGGTTCACAGATACTTTTATCAGTGGGCTTTCCGGTTCTAAAGCAGAGTATATTTTCAACAGTTGAACCATAGAGTAAATGACCATTTTTTCCACATAAATGTGGATCGAAAGATCAAAAATTATGTGAATATGCAGATCAACCCACCTCTTTCAAGTAGAGCCTCACCACTAGGGCCCACACGTCCTGTTATGGGATTCGTATCTGTAAGCAGCTCCCCTACAAGCACT